ATTTTATTAATAAATTCAAATAAATTCAAATTCAAATATTTCTTAATGTGTTAAAATTATATATGCGCTCTGGCATGGTTTTGATGTCCCACATTCGTCAGGCATCAAAAGTAACTGTAAATAGCAGTTATATACTTTCATCCTGTTCATCAGCACTACACTGATAAAGCCCATCAGGCCGAAACGGTACCGTCTGTAGTTAGATATCGCTCTATGGCCTTTAGGTCATATTGAGCGCTCTACAGGATGAGCCATTGCCGCTTACGCATTACGCACGCTCACTGCTTGCAGTTTGAGCGCTCTGGCATGGTTTTGATGTCCCACATTCGTGAGGCATCAAAGGTAACTGTAAATAGCAGTTACATTCATCCTGCTCGTCAGCACTACACCACAGAATAAAGATCAGTAACAGAAGGGCCACTCAGCGGTGCAACGAGTCCGCGTTTTTTTATGCAAAAACATGCAGTTTACTGGCCTGAAGGCGTAGCAGCCAGCCAGTACAGCGTGTTTATTGGCCAGAAAATGTCATTGACTGGCTAGGAAAATGACGGCCAATATGCGTAATGCGACATGCGCGAGGACAGAAACTTCAAAGCTTCCGACGTAAGTGGCCCTTCTATATATATATATATATATATATATATATATATATATATATATATATATATATATATATATATATATATATATATATATATATATATATATATATATATATAATTAATTAAAATTCTTGGGATTGAAATATACTTTTATCGAGCTTCGACTCGGTACTTCGAGCCTTCTTCAGAATAGTGAGATTAAAGTTACATATGTACATTAAAGTTTTGCGGTGTTGCTTCGTTCTTGTATACGTCGAGACCGTCTAATTGGCTGTTCCGCGGCGTTGTCATGGTTGAGTGAATACAGCTGCTAGGGATGGCGTCATTGGAATGCTTGGATGGTTCTGTTGCGGATGTTGAAGGAAGTGTTATTTAGAAGTTAGTATTAGTCATAGTATCGTTGTTATTAGTAGGACATTTACGCGTTGTTTTAAGTTGTAAGTAAATAGTGGGAATTTCAACGTTTCGGTTAATTGTATTACCGTCTATACTGTACCATTCCTCTTTAAATTCATGTGCGTGTTTTGTTTGTGCTCGTCCCAATAGTTCGGTTTCTGTCCAGTTGAAGGTATGGCAGTTGTCGTATGTGTGCATGTGCTGCAGGTAGTGATTCATAATCGTATCGTTCTATGGCGTTTTTGTGTTCAGTTATTCGTGTTTTAATTTTCTTCGAGGTTTGACCTATGTATCGTTGTGGACAGTCTCTGCAAGGAATCGTGTATATAGCATTTTTTGTTTGTTCTGATGCTGTTTTGTCTTTGTGTTTTGTGAAATATGACCTAAGTTTATGTGCCGGTTTGTGTGCTACGTCAATGTTGAAAGGTCGCAATAATCTGGCGGTCATTTCAGATGTACTGTTTATGTAAGGTAGAGTTATTCTTGTCCTTGATTGTTCAGGTTGATTATTCTTGTTTATTATTCTTGATTATTCTTGTTCTTGATTGTTCAGGTATTCACTCAACCATGACAACGCATTCTTCATCAGCAATGAGATCAGATCAACCGCGGAACAGCCAATTAGATGGTCTCGACGTATATACAAGAAGGCAGCAACACCGCAAAACTTTAATTAAATAATGTACATATGTAATTTTAATCTCAGTATTCTGAAGAAGGCTCGAAGTACCGAGTCGAAAGCTCAATAAAAGTATATTTCAATCCGGAGAACTTTAATTAATGGATAGGAAACTAGCTGACGTGACCTAATGTTTCCAATGTACAAACCAAATTCTCAAATAGCCTAGTTACAAACCAAATTCTCAAAAACGGCATGTTTAGCAATAATACAGCAAAACGTTTTAGTCAAATAGCAAATAAATATAACTACGCCATTCTACGATGAAATCTCTAAGTATTCCCAGTCAATTTTAGCAAATATTTCAAGCACTAAACAGTGAAAAATGCATCGCAAATTTCGTTAAAATTGGCGACGCCAATTTCGTAGCGACAAATGTAAAAAAATACAAAACAAAGACGAAAAACATTTACCTTGAATACTTTGTCGTGGCTTAGGGATGTTTTTAAAACAATTAACCAGTTTATGCTTCAATATTACTCTTTTAAAGCGGAAAATATAGCGAAACAACAAAAATGCTGAAAACTTTGGCAATACGCGTGACGTCACAGATTGCAACTAGATTTAGACTGTGACATCAGGAAGTTTCCTATCCAGTTATTTTACAATCCATGATCATACATATACAGAAGAAATAGTCGGTTTACATAAAAGGTTACCACAGCAGCCTGTTTCATCCAAGAGGAATCATCAGGAGCCACCTGGATGAAACCGGTGGTTGTGGCAACGTTTTGAGGTAAAACGACTATATATATACCGTATATTTACGGTAAATTTACCTGTATTAGAACATTCAACTCCAGCATCCTCACTGTGCCCGCAATTATGGCTTCCCCATCCGTTATGTGAACATGTGCTCAAATTTTTTTCACTTCCCTTACAATGCACATCGTCTAACCAAATCTGGCCAGAACCACGAGAAACTTTATTCCCTCCAAGGGTTGCAACAGTATTCAGATAACCAAGTTGACGACATACAACTCTAGCGTCTTTTATATCCCAACCATCATCACAGATTGTTCCCCATTGACCTGCATAGAACACTTCAACACGACCAGTACCATTTGTACTCGACGGTCCTTGCAACCTGAGTGATATCGCTGTAAAATATTAAAACAGTAAGTGAGTCATAAATTTCTCTTGGCGAAGATATATTTTTACAATGCTGTCAAATTATAGAAGACAAAAATGTTTTTATGTGCATTAAGAGAAGAATAGATCAAAATGAGACACCTATTCGAGGGGGGAGCATCAAAATACTCGGTATATATAGGGCGTATCAGAAATTGTACTTAGTCCCCATTATGGACCACTACAGTACTGCTCAGAAATATAGCCTAACAGAAAACGCGTTCGGAACGCGTCCCGAACGCGTCTGGAACGCGTTCCTAAATGTGTCCATTTGCGTTCCATTCGCGTTCCATTCGCGTTCCATTCGCGTTCCAATTGCGGTCCATTTGCGTTTCATTTGCGTTCCACTGTTACCGGAACGCATCTGCGGAACGCGTTCCGGTTACACTCGTATCGAAACCGGACATCGTCCGAAATCATCGCGATTTCCCGAGTATTAGTATTACATTTTGTGTTCACATTATAAAGCATGATACCGCGTTTTTATATTTGCTTTCCACTAACGAGTCGCGAATCAAAATAACCTATGATGTATACATCACATACATGTATGTGCGTGGTCAATACTCCCGGACAAAACAAAACAGTACACAATCTAGCTAATTTCCTCTATTCGCCATCATGTTTCTGATGACCATGTCGAAAATGTTCGCGCTTTTCACAAAACTCTAAAGGGCATCAAAATAAATAAAAACAGTTTTGAAGGAATTTTAATGTCTTTCTTGTCTAAAATTAGTATTGTCTAAAATTATGGAAATTATTGTCAAAAGTTATTCACTCACGCGTGTGTTGAATAGGCTATTGAATTTCATTTCCGAAAGAGGTAGCAAAAATATCACAGTATTTGGACTTTATAAAATCATCATCAGATTAAACCCGGTTTACACTATCAAAGTTTCTGTGATCAGAGGAGGAGGTTTAAATGGATAAACTAATACCGGAAAAAGCACAAGGTAAGGAGGTCGTCCAGTTTATTAGCTATCCTGTAGACTAGAAATACAGATAATTTCAATCTTAACTCATGCAACAATAGTACGCAAGCGATGTTGTTTATTGCTGATATGCGTGTTTAGTATAAACCTACTAGTAGGCTATTACATATCGTGCCTTCTGATTGGCTAATACTAAATATAGTAGCTATTAGTGATATCCTACTAATAGAAAATTCAAAATGGCGGAAAATTCGCGTTTTGCACTTTCGCCGAAGTGTCTGATGATTTTTTGGACGACTTGTTGAACAATTCTGTACTAAAAAAACCCGAAAAAAGCAACAAAAATATGGAATGGCAATTTTTAAGGGTAAGAAAATAGACAAAATAACATACACTTCTAAAATTAAAACTGAATTTTGTAAAACATTTTACGCGAACAAAAACTAAAATATTTGTTCACCTTTAATGGTTTTATAATGTTTTTTTGTGTATTTTTGTATTTTTTTTTTGCAGCCTAGTTGTTAATTAATGTTAAAGTTTATACTAAAACAATTAGACAACTCGGTCTCGTTGTCTATGAGCAAATAGTCAACTCGGCTTCGCCTCGTTGACTATTCGCTCATAGACAACTCGGCCTCGTTGTCTAATTGTTAAATATTCGCGTGCCGCAGTAAGGAAACATCATCATAAGTTGGTACGATTGTTAGTAAATGTATATTGCAAGCATGCACTTATTATAGAATCGACCCGAGATGTTGGGTAGTCAAAAATGTCATGACAGTCACTAGTATTTTGACTAATTGTAAATGTTAATCATGTGTAATGACTTAGTTATGCGTAAAAAAATTACACAAGCGGCGACAATTTAAAATAAACTGTAGCAAGTATGCTACATGATACGCTTGCTTCAGCACGTTTGATAGCGATCTATTTGATTGCCCGTGAACAGTTTGAGCCGGCTGAGTTTTAGTCGGAACTATTTTCATCCCATGTTGTTAAATTGCTGAAATGTAGCCTGTGCACAACACAGACCTTTCCAGCTCGGGTTGAAAGACACGATCGCGATTTGAAGCATTTTCGGCTATTTGATTTGTGCACGTGTTTATGGTTACATACAGCTATTTCAATTAACGTTGTCCACGAGCAAAGCGGAAAGGTCGAATACGAGCGCGAAAGGCTGCTGGGAATCGCTAACAAATTAATTTTAGTCAAACCGGGCTGGTATTTCAGCCCGGGATGAAACTTGATATTAATTGTTCATAGTTGTCAACTGTCAAAACCTACAGTAGCTCATGTTTCATTCGGTGTCGGGATTTTCCGATGCGAGAACGCGGTTTTTAGCCAAAGTGGGGAACGCGTTTCCAAGTTTCCTCTGGAACGCGTTCCAACCGCGTTCCGACCGCGTTCGGAACGCGTTCGGAACGCGAACGCAGTGTTAGGTTATTTCTGAGCAGTACTGTAAATACGGTAGCCCAGTCGTGTTTTATCGTCATTAACTAGACATTAAGTTTAGTAACTGAATAGAATAAATATTGAATACGAATTGTCTCTAACAGCAAACTGCAGCGCATGCAGTGTTTACAATCATATTCAATTGTGCAATACCCGCGTTATTCCGAGGGTCCACGCTTTTTTGACTCAGATTAAACGTCTGGAACTAGGGTAATACAATTATTTTATATTTTCAGAATTATAGCCGTTTAAATTGATCGTTTTCAACTATATTATACAAGACAAATTTGATTGTAATATTTGAAATGCTTGTTCACTTCACTGGCCAATCTTTCTAAAGAATAAATTATAAGTTCAAATTAATTATAAATTAATCATAAATTATAATCAAAACATTAATGGCTCCGCGTATTTCTTCATGAGGCCCAGCCCTGCGCTTTTTAATTGCCAAACACATATCTGAGGCTCCCGCTTTTTAGTACTTTGCACAATTCTCGTGCGTTGCAAATTTCTAGTGCCGCTGTGCCGCACACTTTCCTTATGCCCGGCCTGCACACTATCAATCTACTTCATGAAACTTTTCTAGATGTCCGACACTGTTTAGATCCGCGTTCTTAATTTTCCATCGCTGCATGCGTTCTTTTCTAGTGCTGCATGCTTCCCATATGCCCCTGCATATACTGTCAGTGTAGTACCCTGTTCATTTCTAGTGCTCTACATTTTCTAGTGCCACACGCTATTCCTAAGGCCCCGCACCTTCTAGTAACCTGCATTTTTCTATGATTCCGCATTACTGCAAGGGTCTCCATCGATTTTGGGTCTCTATGGCTTTTGAGGCCACGACGCCTTTTTAGGGATAGCTTTGTGTCCACTGCCTCATGAATAGAAGGCCAGAACGGAAAATCGCACATCTAGAAAGCATGGGAGCATCACTAAAGATTTAAGCCTTTGTATCCTCCGCTTTCGAACACCATTACTTAGGAACAGGCATAACATAGGTTAGACGTGTTCATCTCTGGAAAACGTCTTGGAATCTACCCAAACTAAATGAGAATATTCAGAGGATACTCTACCTGTTATAATCAATATTATTAATGATATTAAAAACTAGTGCTAGCATATCAAAAGTGCAAAATATTTTGCCTTTAAATATGTCAGAAGTTATCAGCTATACAATAGGGCTTGATAGATATCTCGTAAGAGAAATCCGATCTGGTGCGTTAACATTACGGGTTAATTAAAAATATTTATTACATACATGACAAAATTACTGCAATCTGATTGGTTAAGAGGAGTGCAACTATTTCATTAATTGCACTCTCCAGAAGTGCAATTAATGATTTTCGTGATGGCTGGGGGGGAGA